CCAATACAGTTCGTACTAAATAAAACGCGGGTTCTTTCTGAGTACGAGTATTACAATGATTTTATTGACACAACTTTACTTTGCACTTTACTTTACTTGACGGTTTCAATTCGCGATCTGATTCACAACTGACTAACTGCCTTTCCCTTTCCCCTATTTATATGAGCCTTGCCTGTCGCTACAGAAGTTTCTAGACGATCTGGTTACACCTAGATTACGAACAATCTACCAAGGCACAAACAGATACAAACTTACATTGAGTGCACAATAACAACAACACATATACAGGCGAGGGGGTAACAAAGAAAGAGAAATTAAGCTATCATCAATGATGACGTTTAACAAGAATTATACGTCAACAACAAAATAGACAATAAAGGAGGAAATGGAAGGATGTAGAAAAATCTATACAGTAGTTGTTGTTGTGAAGTTATTCGAATAAACTGCGTAGTAGAAATTTACGTTACAATTCAAATTCTTAAATTAACGGAATTCATCTGAATTAACTTAAATCTAAAGTTATATTCGTAACAATATATAAATGGTGCCAAAAATATATACTAACACATCAATTGAGAATGCCTTGACCGATTTGACTCAAAGTTTCTTTCAGTTGTCGGTAATTACAGTGGGTAGGTTCTTATGAAGGAAAATTTTTAGAAGAATACGCGAAAATCTTGCAAAAGTTATTTTAAAGAAAAGGCTGGACCGATTTGACTTAATGTTTCTGTTAGCAATCTGTAATTGAAGTGGAAAGGTGTTAATTTTCTACAATCAATTTGATTGTCATTGCCTTGAAACAACTATTGTGTATGAAAATAAATTTATATTTTCATTAGAATTAAATTTAATAATAAGAAACCGAAAAGAGAGAGTAAGATTAATCGCTATCATTATTTGCTCACGTTTTCCATAAAATCAAAATTAATTTTGTTTGAAAATATAAGTTTGTTATGTGAAGCAATTTGCATGGTATGTATAGGTTGTGAAATTTTTCCATTTCTGTTGTTGACCAATGTTTTTTTTTATTAAATCTTCATGTTTTTGTTGGGATTTTTTGGTCAGATATTTTTTATGAAAATAAAACGATTTTTTTCATATTTTGCTCTTTTTTATTTATTTATTTATTTATTTTTTTGACGTTTCGTTGGCATTTTTCCAACATTTTCTAGAGCTGATTTATTGATCTATTGACAAAATAAAAATGAAGATGTAATTTCTTTCATTACATTTGAAATATTGCACTTATTTTTAACTTACTTCATTTTTATACCCTCCACCATAGTATGGAGGGTATATTAGTTTTGTTTTTCCGTTTGTAACGCATCGAAATAATCATTTCCGACCCTATAAAGTATATATATTCTTGATCAGCGTAAAATTCTATGACGATCTAAGCATGTCCGTCTGTCCGTCTGTCTGTCTGTCTGTCCGTCTGTCTGTTGTAATCACTCTAGCGTCTAAACGAATTGAGATAGATCGCCAAAATTTTGCATAGAGTCGTCTTTTGTCTGCAGGCAGGTCAAGTTCGAAGATGGGCTTTATCGGTCCACGTTTAGGCATAGCTCCCATATAAGGGTACCCCCCAATTTTCGGTATTTTGAGGTTCTTGAGCGCGTTTTTCAACTGAATTCGCTCAAATTTGGTATATTGAGTTCGTATTGGGTAGCAAATCTTTCCACTGAAAATTATAAATATGGGTCCATATTTTCGGATAGCCCCCATATAAGGGTACCCCCCAATTTTCGGTATTTTGAGGTTCTTGAGCGCGTTTTTCAACTGAATTCGCTCAAAATTGGTATATTGAGTTCGTATTGGGTAGCAAATCTTTCCACTGAAAATTATAAATATGGGTCCATATTTTCGGATAGCCCCCATATAAGGGTACCCCCAATTTTGAGGTATTTTGGGGGGTTTGATCGCATTTTTCTACCGAATTCGCTGAAATTCGGTACTTTGAGTTCTTATTGGGTAGCAAATCTCTATACTAAAAATTATTAATATAGGTCAATTTTTTCGGGTAGCCCCCATATAAGGGTACCCCCCAATTTTCGGTATTTTAGGGTTCTTGAGCGCGGTTTTCAACCAAATTCGCTGAAATTTGGTACATTGGGTTCTTATGGGGTACCAAATCTCCCCACTAAAAATTATAAATATAGGTCCACTTTTTCCGGTAGCCCCCATATAAGAGTTCCCCCAATTTTCGCTATTTTGAGGTTCTTGAGCACGTTTTTCAACCGAATTCCCTGAAATTTGGTATTTTGTAGTCATATATGGTAACAAATTTCCCTACAAAAAATTATTAATATGCACCCCCTTTTTGGGGTAGTCCCCATATAACCCCCTTTTTATACCCTCCACCATAATATGGAGGGTATATTAATTTTGTTTTTCTGTTTGTAACTCATCGAAATAATCATTTCCGACCCTATAAAGTATATATATTCTTGATCAGCTTAAAATTCTATGACGATATAGCCATATCCGTCTGTCTGTTGTAATCACTCTAGCGTCTAAACGAATTGAGATAGATCGCCAAAATTTTGCATAGAGTCGTCTTTTGTCTGCAGGCAGGTCAAGTTCGAAGATGGGCTTTATCGGTCCACGTTTAGGTATAGCTCCCATATAAGGGTACCCCCAATATGGGAGCGAATACGCTGAAATTTGCTACATTGGGTTCTTATTGGGTACTAAATGGCTCCACAAAAAATTATAAATATAGGTCATCATTCTCTAGTAGCCCCCATATATCGGTACCTCCTAATATTCAGTATTTTGGGGGTTTTGATCGTATTTTTCTGCCGAACTAGCTGTAATTTAGTATTTTGAATTCTTAATAGGTAACAAATCTCTCCACAAAAACTTATTAATATAGGTCAATTTTTCGGATAGCCCCCATATAAGGGTACCCCCAAATTTTCGGTAATTTGGGTTTCTTGAGCGCGTTTTTCAACCGACTTCACTGAAATTTGCTACATTGGGTTCTTATTGGGTACTAAATGGCTCCACAAAAAATTATAAATATAGGTCATCTTTCTCTGGCAGCCCCCATATATCGGTACCTCCTAATATTCAGTATTTTGGGGGTTTTGATCGTATTTTTCCGCCGAACTAGCTGTAATTTAGTAATTTGAGTTCTTATTCGGTAGCAAATCTCTCAACAAAAAATTATAAATATAGGTCAATTTTTTCGGGTAGCCCCATATAAAAGTACCCCCAATTTTCGATATTTTGAGGTTCTTGAGCGCGTTTTTCTACCGAATTCGCTGAAATTTGGTATTTTGTAGTCGTATATGGTAACAAATCTCCCCACCAAAAATTAATAATATTCGGTTCAGATTTAGATATAGCTCCCATATATATTTTCGTCCGATTTTAAGTAAATGGTACACCAAAATCCCTATATATCTTTCGATTTGCACGAAATTTGGCATAGGGTACTGAATTGAGGGAATTGAGCGAAATCGGATGCGCTTAATATTTAGCTCCCATATATAGTTTCGTCCGATTTTATGTAAATGGTGTACCAAAGTCCCTATATATATTTCGATCTGCACAAAATTTAGCATAGCGTACTGAGTCACGCCTGGAGTTATGTGCGCCATGTTTCGTGAAAATCGGTTGAGATTTTGATGCTATATATATATAGGTAAATGGCGTACCAAACATCCAATATTATTCACACTGAGACAAAATTTTGCACAGCAAACTAGATTAGGTCCAGTTTATGAAGTTTTAATGAAATCAGTTGAGTTTTAGATATATTTCTCCCATATAAGTTTATCCGATTATATGCAAGTGGTGCAGCAAACTCCCAATATTTGTCCGATTGAGAAAAAAATTTTGCACAGCCTACTAAATTAGGTCCTGTTTGATATTTATGATGTTTTGTTGAAATCGGTTCAGATTTAGATATAGCTCCCATATATATCACACATTTAGTTTCACCCCATTCCATTTCAATGGTCCTCTAAAGATTATGTGTCTGTTCTATCTACAGGATATTGTATATATTAGCATCGCTTTTTGTATTCAAAGTGGTGAAGGGTTTCATAGAGTCGGCTCGGTCCGACTTTTGAACTCAATTGGAATTGGTATATACATCCCATATACTGACTTCATGTTAATTGCGCACCAAAGAATCAACGGGTGTCTGACTGAGATTAATTGCTTTGCAGTGTACTGTAGCATACCGAATAGCCTGTGTCAAATTTGATTTAAATCGATTTACATAATTCAGTCCCATTTTACACATACGACTCTAATGAAATGCAATTTTGCATAGGTTGCCGATGATATATGTATGAATTGATTTAAGTCCGCTCACATATAGTTACAGAATTTTACATCTTTTATGATGCATCTCTTAAATATACCCAGTGGTAAATGATATAATTTAGCCGGCCTGCCTGTCATTGCCACCAATTCCGGTACACAGGTATTAATAAGATTTGTTTGTTTTTCTTTTTATACTGATAAATCATTTATGATATAACTGACGTAATAAACAACTTAATATATTTTACCTGCATCAATAAAAGGGGAATTTATTGCGCTGAAGGGTTCTACCTGTCCCAAAAGGGGTATGTTTTTAATTTTCTTAAAATTTTTGTAAACAACACCTGGTCCATGAGCAGGCAATGTACCTGTGCTGCATATATACCTGGATAGGATGATTGGATTATATTTAAGATGTGCCAATTATTATTTACATACTTAGTACTTCATAACTACTTAACAAGAAAGGTTCATAGTGCGCTTAAAAGTATTATTGTTTTAATATAAAGTGAAAAGTGTTCAATATATATTCTTATATAACCATTAGTACAATTGGAAATATTGGTAAGTGAAGTGTATTAATATAAATTACCAGAGTTACAAATCATTATTTCTAAAAGGTCATAGAAAACCAAAGTTCGAGGTTCAAGGCGGTCATAAAAATACAGTGGGACTAGATACATTTAGTGTACGAACTCATATATATATATTAAAACTTCAATATGCCCAGACTACGTAGACAATCGTCTCAACAACGTCAACGTTTAACGGCATTGAGAGTTCGTACGCATAGAGACCAAAATCCTGCGGATGGGGAAAGGAACGCTCGCATTTTAGCCACAAGAAGGCAGGATGCCGAATTTAGGGATGCCGAGCGTGAAAGAGACCGCATTGCTCGACAATCGAGGAGAAGGTCCTCCTTCAACAGAGCAGTTGAGCAGTTACGCGATATGGCTCAACATTCTCGTCGCCGATTGGATGAAAATTACCGACTTATAGAACAAGAACGCAATACGACGGAGCATTCGATCCGTCGAGAAAACGAAAGCTATAGGCAGGTGGAAAGAGAACGGGATGCCGAAGGACATCGTATACGCAGAGAAAATGAAAGCATTCGACAAACTGAAAGAGAGCGGGATGCCGAAGGACATCGTATACGCAGAGAAAATGAAAGTATTCGACAAATTGAAAGAGAGCGGGATGCCGAAGGACATCGTATGCGTAGAGAAAATGAAACTTATCGCCAAACAGAAAGAGAGCGGGATGCTGAAGAACACCGCATTCGTCGCCAGGACGTTAATTTCCAAACATCGGAACAAGAACGAAATACAGCCGAACGTTCACGTCGTCGGGAAAACGAAGACTATAGACAAGCGGAAAGAGAACGGGATGCCGAAGAACATCGTGTTCGTAGGCAGGACATAACGTATAGATTGTTCGAGCAGGAACGAAATACTGCCGAACATTCATTACGCCGGGAGGATGAAAGTTATCGACAAGCTGAACGAGAGAGGGATACTGAAGCACACCGTATTCGTCGACAGGATATTTCGTACCGCTTGTCCGAGCAAGCTAGAAATACCCGTCGCCGATTCATTCGTCGGCTTGATATTACATATAGACAGGCAGAACGTTTAAATGACTCGGAACAACATATTGTTCGAAGAACGAATCAAGTATACCGCATTTCTGAGCAGCAACGCAATACCCAACAACGTCGTGAAGCTAGACGACTTAATCGTATTCGAGCTCAGGACCAAACCCAAAGAGGAAACTCTCGCGTGAATAGTCATAGGTCAAATGCCGTTAACAGACAAATTGAAAACAGCCGTCAAGCTGCCAGACTTGCTTATATAAGGCAAAATCTTTCTCCGGAATCTAGAATAGAGAATTCAGAAAGGGATTCTGAAAGGCATCGGTCCGTACAATTTGAAGAATTTTCAGAACTAATTAAAAATGGGCCGACGGAAATTTGCATTTGCTGCGGGGACTATGGTTTCCAAACCAAATTAAATTTATTGTTAAAGATACATTTTTAACAAAATATCCCAATCTATCCGAAGTTTTCTTCCTCTCAAATACATTCCCATCCGAAGATAATAAATACAAATTTTGTAATACGTGTCACAAAATTTCTAACGGAGGGAGAGTACCCACAATTTGTTTATCAAATGGTTTGCACTTCCCAGAGATTCCAAGACAACTTCAAGGAATGACCCCATTAGAAGAACGATTCGTGTCGCCACGAATTCCCTTTATGCGAATTGTTTCTCTAGGATACAACCGCCAATGTGCTGTAAGGGGTGCCGTTGTTAATGTACCAATTCAATTAGATAAAACAGTGAATGTACTTCCACGAAACTTTAATCAAACGGAAGTTGTTCAAGTTCATCTAAAGCGTAGGCTACAATATGAACAAAGTTTCATGACCGAAACCATACGACCAGCAAAAATTTACGAGGCAGCAAGATATCTCATAAATACAGAACTGTATACGAAACATAATATAGTTCTTTCCGCGGAATGGTTGAATAATGTTAGTTCTGCTGAAGAAATACCTTTCGTTTCCAACGTGGAAGACGCAGAGGTAGTCTCTCAATTAATAAATAATAATTTAGCACAGGATGATATTGAAGAAGTGAACCCACAAGAAACTTTATTAGATAATAATCCTGTAGAAAATATGCCATTGCAGCGTATTTCCGTGGCTCCCGGCGAAGGACAGCGGCCGTTAGATATGCTCTTGGACGAGGATTCTGAGGAACTTTCCTATCCTACAATATACTGCGGTATTAAAAGAAATTGTAGTGCTAGTATTGGAAAAATTATTAAGTCTGAGGTTCGACGTTACGACAGACGGTGTGCACGGGTTGACAAAATTTTGTATTCTTATAAAAAATTAGAGTTTTCCCGCATTAAAAGCA